ACTTAAAACTTAAAAGTTTACGTTTACTTACTTACTAGTCCGTACCTTACGTTAAGTTAAAGTTAGTTCGTACTACTACTCTCTCCTCTACTCTCTACTTATTTACTTACTACTCTCTCTCTCTCTCTCTCTCTCTCTCTCTCTGTGACAGTAGTTTCTTCTGGGATTATGTCCACACACGTATTTGCCATTACCCTTCATGTAACTTGGATGCTCTTTAAAACCTAAATTTCCTCAAAAGTTTTAAAGCATATTTTGTTGGTGACCAACTTACAAATGTCTATTTGTTACTTTCCATGCTCTTGTTCACTGACAAGTCAATTGCCAAAAATATAAAACCATCATGTTCTCTAGAGCTCCTGGACGCCAAAATCAAGAAGCCTGGAAAAAGAATACCACCAGAATATAACCCTTCAGCAACACCATACAAATTCCACAGCTACTTTAAAAAATTGCCCTTTTTGAGTAGTAATGGATACCCAAAGGGAAGAAGCTTCAGTAGAGAACCAAGGAGCAGCCTCTTCTTCTAATGCTTTATTTTAGTGACAGGTACAAGAAATGACAGCTCTCAAAATAAAATAAAATAAAATAAAGTAAAGCCATTAGCACAAACTGTGAACAAGAACTACAGAAAAGCCTACACAGCTTTCTCAAAATGCTGGCCAAACAGTACAAGCCCAACTGCCCCTAGTAGGCAACAAATGAGGAGATTGCAGCACAAGGGCAGAGCCCAATTTCAACGTCTGGTGACCAACCCCCCCTTTCACTTGGGTAGTGAGAGAAAACCCATTCCCTCCTTTGGTTGTAGGAGAGAGAATAGTTACATCTTTTAGACCTACACCAAAACAGCAAAAAAACTGAACCTTACCCTCTACAAAGAATGAGATTTGAACCTGTTTGCCCCAAAACAAAGTGAAAGTTGCTTTCTTTTCCTGGACTCTTGAATAAACCTTCAGACCCAATCCAAAAAAACGTAGATTTTTTGGGGTTCCAGTACCCCAATTCAAGGAACAAAGACTTTTGGGGTTTCGAGGCTTTTACAAAGATGGTGGGCACCGTCTCATCGGTTGCTGCGGAGCCAGGCTGGCCTTTTCTTTTACAGCACCCCGAAAGATTAGGCACAATAAGTTAGTTGAGAATGTCTCTTAAGCATAGTACATGTACAAGCTATTTGCAGCAGCACAGGCAATGGAATTCTCAGTTGGATGCCACGCTAAGTGAAGCAACTTGGTGGTGAGATCGTAAGCGCCTCCATTTGCCTCAGAGCTCGGGCTTGGAGCACCTACGATATACATATACATGACACAGCAAAAAGAAACATCATCTTGTTAGCATAAATATGAGATGTGCTCATCTTGGAGATCGTGAGATAACTTTTGTAGCATGGGTATTCGGTTGCCCTTTTGGGGAAGTTGATTTTTAGGTCCTCGCTGAAAGCAGAATGTGTATATGATTTATGATAGCTGGAGATACCAAGTGTTGCATAGGTCCAAATTTTGGATCATATTTCTATGATTTCTTTCTCAAATGAGGCCTACTTTTTAATACATATGTAACCACCGTTTGAAAAGTTACTTCCTTCTCTCCTAACTAAAGCTTGAATTTCGATTTTAAGGAATTTGGTAGAAGATATGAGTCCCATGGCTGAACATTTACAAATATGATCTTTGGGCCTCATATTTCAATCACGCAAAGCCCTAACAAGTGTGACTTTATAGTTATGCATGGAGTGCATAGCAATTGAATTCAACACTGACCTCGTCTGCCAACACGTGTAAGACTGCCAAGTGATCTTGAAGGCCTTGATGGAGTTTGAACTTGCCTCCTATAAGATAAGCATAACAGACAATGTTTTTGGTTAACAGCCAACATGTGGCAGTTGACTTTAAAAAGCAAAAATTATAGACAATGCAAAGAAAATATTAATGCTAGCATGAAATGATGAAACAGAATGAAAGGAAAGTAGCTCATGTATTTAAAAGTTAATATTACATGCATTTTAAAATTTGGAAGGACATAATAAAGACAGATTAAGAGAGCATGTTCGCATTTTCAGAACATGCAATGATTTGTTCATTTGAAGAGAATAGGATTTTTGAATGGCTTCTAAGTAGAGAACTAGGAAGTATTTTTGGATTTTGGCAAAAGCGAGTTTCAACATAACTCATGGAGATCATGATGGGTCTATTTTAGAAATGGAGTAAAACAAACTGGAGTTATGAGATAATGAAAGCTGAGAAGAGGAGGCAGAGGAGATAAATGACCATTTAATACCGCTCCTGGAGAGTAATATAAATTTTTCAAATCAGTGACTACGTGGTGTATTAGGTATACTGGTCTTATAAGCATCATAAAAGGCTATAAGCATGTTCTAAAGGACTAAAACCCCCCATCTAAATAAGAATTAATTCAAATCACTCAATATACCTTATTCTCAAAAAAAAATCACTCGATATACCTTGTGGGATTTTTGCTGGCTTCTAAAGTAGTTGACTCGGTACTACCCGGAGCACAACCAAATACACGAAACAAATTACTGTATACACAGCAAAAATAAATAAAATTATCAGTCCAAAGTTCCAAGAGTCAGAATGTGAAAGATGGAACAAGACCGTCAAAAGGGAGCTGCAACCTGTATGACCCAGTTGCCACCCTCAGTCCATCTCCACTTAGACAGCACTCAAATTTGTCAAATATTGAGTCATTTTCATATAAATCACAAAGCTGCAAAAGAGAAAAGCCCGACTGTTACTGATAGCTTCAAATAGTTATCAAGTAGTTTTTGCTGAATCCAAGATTGTTTCGAGTCAGAAATGAATTGCATAGAGATCGAAGAATTACCTTTGGTCTTAAGTACTCATGAACCTGAAACGTTGAAACAGGACCAGAATCCATGTTTATATCCCATAGCTGTAGACCCAGAAGCAACAAAAAATACGTATTAAGATTTCAGATATATTTTGTTTTTTGGTTTATAGATCTCAAAATCATTCAAATGAGGATGATTACGAATATGCATAAGCCGATAGATATGAGCAGTAGGTAAAATAAATTGTGCAATTATGTAAATCACAAGTAATTTCTTTCCTGATTAGTGACAAAAATAAATGTCATCTAGTGACTCTCATCATATTTCAACACAAAAAATAAGTTTTGGAACAAGACCTCTTAAGGAAAAGAGTCAAACTACATTATCGGCTGAGGGTAAAAATATGGTGCAGCAATGGCTTTGAAAATTTTGCAATCCTAAAAGACTAGAACCACCAGGACAATTTAACGAATCGGCGTATACTTCAAGGAAATAGCTCTTGACTGAGAAATTAAAATCTATGGGACACTGATGAACTGCAATGGTACCAGAAAATGACATACAAGTGGTTTGATGTTCTTGCGTCAGCATCTTAGTGAACATAAAAAAAGAAACAATATTCAAAATAACGTAACTTGAGTTGGGAATTGGTCACATCACAAACCAAGCAGACCAGGCAAATCCCAAATCAACCACCCTTTTACAAGGATAACTAAAAGGAATCAAGACCCTACAAGACTAAACTCAATCTTATCTTCCGTTTAAAGACTCAGCCAGGGCAATGCCAACTCGACTTAGAAAAGGACTCAAGCCACAGCAATGCCAACTCAACTTAGACAGGTCCCATTACCTAACCCTGTTTTTTCAAGCGACAAGGAATTGTGTAGAATGATTTTGTTGTTCAGTGTTTACATCATGCCATGGTCAAAAGGACGTATTTTTCTTGGTCTTGGAACAACATTTTCACATATAAAGAACCCACTCACTAAACATATAAACTTCACTATAGAAAGTTGCATGAACATATGTACTACTAGCACTTATATCCAAAGTTGTCCAAGCAAAAGCACTCTAGGAATGCGCATGTTGATCATATGAGATACCACATGTTCATTTCTAATGCTTTTATTCTCCTCCATGGTGCACTTGTAACAAAATATGCACAAGCAAAAGCACTCTAGGAATTCTCATGTTGATCATGTGAACTATCTCATAAGCTTATTTCCAATGTCTTTTATTCTCGTGCATGGTGCATGTTGAGACAACACAACGTTCCGGCACTCCTTGACAAACTAAGAAGCGTCAGAAAAACCTCAAGATCCATAGACACTTTAAAAACAGAGTATTTGCCCATGACACTCCACATTTAGTGGAGGTGACACTTCCCTTGAACTTTTGAATTGAGATACTTCATTCGAAGTAGTGAAATTCAAACATACCTACACTTTCTTTTTTTGGCAGGAAAAACATATGAGTGCAACAAAATCAAAGAGGCAGCAATTAAAAAAGTGAACATCAAACTTTTTAACAGAAAAGAGGAAGGTATAGAGACTAATGAGCTAGCTCTCACTCTTCTATGACATTGAAAATCTAAGGGAAAGCAGTTTTTTTTTACTTATCCAAGGACTAGGCTCTTCAATAAATAAATAAATAAAATCCAAGGGACAGCAATCAACACCAAAGATCCCATTTGTATGAGTTTTACAGAAATCGAGATATATAAGATGAGAGAACTATTTGCCCTTCAAGTACTTAATCTTCTATATATCAGTGGAAAATTCTATAAGAGGAAATTTCACATTACGCCCCCCTACAGCCCATAAGAAATCACAGGAATATCTAATATTTGGAAAAATAATGCACAACACTCTAGGATCTTTTCTTTTCCTTTTTTGGCCTAGAGTTCTACCACTTCAGGCTCATACATTTCCCTGACCCATGTAGGTTCAGAATAAGAATGGATTCGGCGAGATCTTTTGCCCAACTCAAACAACGGCTTAAAAAGTAAGACCAGAGAACACATGAACATCATTCATGGTTTCTTCCAACTGCACTCCCCAAGAAAAATCAAAGATTGAATATGAAATGTGACAAACAAACATCATGAATTCATGCACTCTAAACTTGAAATATTTTTTGTCAAAAATTACCATAACTTGAATTGTATTGTTACACCTAATGGTGAAAAATCAATTCAATAGACCATTGTACAAAGAACAAAAAAAAGCCATCACAAGCATTATAGATATATTATGATAGTCCATTATCCAAATGAAAAGCAAGCATGAATTCCTCTACCTAAGAATTACCATAGAAAACATTAAATACCAAGAAGTAACACAATCACTAAAATGAGTATACATCGATGGACCTTGAGAGTCATGTAATCGCGACTGAGAATGTATCTTCCATCCTTTGAAAACTTGATATCAGAAATTGAGGCTATAATCTCAGTGAAAAAGGATCTTGATCCAGGTGCCTCCTGTTCCTCAAATCTGCACGAGACAGACCAAAAAAAAAAAAAGAAAGCAGAGAGAGAAAACAAAAATTTCAACTACTGCTCGGCAAAGGTTGAAATCGTCTATAGCATCTATACAGAGACAATAAATCTAATCCACAATAGTAAACACCAATGTGCACCGGCCCCAATCAAGTAGTGTACCACTTACAATCTCGCATGAGTATCACATAATGCTGATTGGCGCATATCAATCAGACGAATTGTGCCCTTTGAGCTACTATATGCCAACATATTGCAATGCGTCGGGTGGAACTCAGCAGAAGTTATCACCTCTGAAAACATAGATAGAAGTATAAGCACAAAGAAGTCTTAATTAGACATTAGTGCTGAAAATGAGCAAATTACATTGTTATCCAATATATAAGAAATACATTGAGAATGGATATTGAGGAATGACTTGCAAAATAGAGGAATTAGTATAAAGAATATAACGGAAGGAATCATTATAACTATTAAAAATATTAGGTAATAGAGACATTAGATATCTAAGAGCATCAAATACCAAAAGCAAGAGCATCTAGACATGTGAACAAAACACAAAGTACGTTGAAGCGGTCGACCAAGAATCAACCCAGAATTACCCAAAATCAAACCATATTTATGCTATCAGAAAAACATGTACTCTGACACCAACATGATGTCCAATAACTTGCAACCTGTGTTCAAATTCACCTTCAACTCTAAGACTATAAGAAAAGTTGAAATAAGACAATGAAAAAATGGGTAAAATATTCAATCTGTTAGTTGTGAACAACAAGAACAACCAAGAAAAGTAGACAACTGATGCCTATGACAGAAATAGATAAGGGCAAGCTTTCTACGCTTCCCCTACAGCATAAAACTTATATACTTCCCCTTATCCAACCGTCCATTCTGAATGGAGGGTTAAGATTGCCCCACTCACAATGTCACATCTCTACACTATTTTATTTTTAATTTTTTTTTTTATAAACTATTTTGACACCAAATTTTGGACATCCAATCCTCTATTAAACTCGCACTAGCGAAAAAAATAAAAAAAATATTTCCAACAAAATAAAATGATCAAAATACCCCTGAAAGTTACAAGGGGTATTTTGGTCATTATATTTTATCCAAAAATTATTTTTAATAGTTTTTATAGGTGCGCCCCAATGAGAAGATGGCACGTACCAAATTTCATATTCATACAATTTGTATAAAAAAATACTTTGAGATGTCGGATCTAAGATCAAACTGGTGAGTGGCTTGATCAAAATTGGACGGCTGGATGGTAGGGGAAGCATAGATCTTCTATGCTGTAGGGGAAGTATAGAAACCTTTCCCAATAGATAATAGAGAGACAATGACAAAATGCTGTGATCTTACTCCAGCAGCAGCAACCCGAATTCCCCTTATTATCAAGCAGTTAAAACCTAGAGCTAATGTTTGATGTAAAACAACTGAGCAGCTAAAAAACTAAGTGTCCTTCCTCACAACCAAGAATGATGAGAGATATCATGTGCTTAGTATACCATGACCAATAACTTCAGAATAATTGTTCTGAATCTTCTGATAGCCTCTTATTCTTTATCAAGAATGACTGTTATGAGTCCTATGGGCTCCATTACTCAGGTTTATTATGTGCCTATATTTGAGTCAATGTGTATACATAAACACCAAGTTTTCCACATCAGAAGCATTCCAATGCCTGTAAACTTCTAAACATTGAACAAAAACGTCGAGTACCACATTTCTCCATATAAAGAATGATTTAAATACTTGTAAGAAAACATTCACTGCAATTGAACACCATGTCAAGTTGAATGACGAGATGTTTTGTAAGCATGCAGATGCATGATAAAACACAAGAAGCAGAGCACAAGAATTGTGCATGGAACATATCCCACCAGACCTTTCAGCATATAAACATCTAAATTTATTATCAAGTGAAAATATTAACAAAAAGCAAACAATAAAAAACACATAAAGAGACCTCACGCAATTTTAAGATTAAAAAAGAAAAGGACTCAGGAAGGTCCATAGGATGATTTAGGATAATTTTAGACTGAAGAAGCAACATGAAAGCCTATACTACATTGGCTGGTGAATCTCCAACTGAAAGAGACCACATCTCAAACATGTGTAACTCAAAAAATTGCAGTGAGTAACAGCGTTCATAGGTCTTGCATACAAGAAGACATTCATGCAGGCAAAGCAGGCCACAGGTTAATTTATTAAGGAGCAAATAGGATTAGGAAGTATTACCTTTGTAAGCTTATTTGACAAACTGAATACTTTGTAACACTCCAATTAAAAAAAAAAAAATTCCACCGCAATAGATGATTGCTAACACTAACTCGTTCACCTCAAAATCTGAAATCATATCCACATAGAAAGTAAAGCATGGGTTAAAAGGAGATCCCATCCATCAAATGGACACACTCAAGGCCAACCCCTCTATGGTTCAGCAAAGAAATCCCCGAAGAAAGCTTTTCTTGTGGATGAAATCCTAAACAACTTAAAGAGGCAGTAAGCTTAGCATTAGATCAACTCATAGATCAGGCAAAAACAAAATCTGGTCTCCTTTCTGATCCAAAAGTGTGTGTATTAGAATATGAAAACCCCAGTAGAGGATAATAAAATTGATTCTCCTTATCAACAATCAAAGAAATATAATATAAAAGGAAGGGAAAATTACATAAAAATCCGTTATACTTTGTGTTATATACCAAATAGTTTCCGTTATTACATGTATATCTGTTTTTTACCTTTTATAACGTAATTTTTTAAAACAAACCGCTTTACCCTTTTTTTGGATGTTCAACATCCGAAAATAGGCTGAAAGTTGTGAAATTTCCTATTTCGGATGTTGAACATCCGAAATTAAGGGATTTTCGATTGTCAACATCCGAAAAATACCCCGATTGTTGAACGTTAAGTATAACAATTTCGAATGTTCAACATCCGAAAATACCCTGATAGTTAAATAAACCTTCGTCTTCTCTGTTTTCGGATGTTGAACATCCGAAAATCTCTTAAATTCAGATGTTCAACATCCGAAAATGTTATACTTAACGTTAAACTATCGGGGTATTTTCGGATGTTGAACATCCAAAAATTCCTTAATTTGGGATGTTCAGCATCCGAAAATAGGAAATTTAACGTTCAACTTTAGGCCTATTTTTGGATGATGAACATCCGAAAATCCCACCAATTCGGATGTTGAACATCCGAAAAAAAGTAAAGTGGTATTTTTTAAGAAATTGCGTTATAAAAGGTAAAAAAAGGACATACATGTAATAACGGAAACGATTTGGTATATTGATAATATCGCAAAGTATAACGGATTCTTATGTAATTTTCTCTAAAAAGAATCTGGCATACAATATCTATGCACATGTAGAATTACTGTACAACCTTATACATGTATACTGGTATCAATGAACTTCATGTGGCATCTAGGGAGACCCATCCTTAGAATCACTCATCAATATACTAAAGTAAAAAAAAAAAAAAGAAGTACAAATAAGGAGATAGAAGCCTAAGGTATCGTATAATCCTCAACAAGGTGGACTACAATTATAAATTAAAGCATAGCCTATTTGTATCCCCTAACATCATTTCAGATACTTAGCTGAAAAGTTCAATAAGATTCAAATTAATTTCATTCCAACAAGGCAAGAAACAAGTGTGATTCATAAGCCATTTTCTCTTCACCGCTGAATGTGATACGAAGTCAAACAAGAGATTTCTTGACAAATCTTAAGGTTTAGAAAAACTTTTTATGATTTAAATATGAGTTAATTGGGGGCAGTTCCCTATTTCATATAAGCTGACAGTTTACAAGAAAAAAGAAACTCTAAGACACTCTCTAATGCAAACTGTGTATTTTTTTTTATTTAATAACACGAACAGGCAAGGATCACATGAATATGTGCTTTACATATCATTACCAAGCGAAAAACAAAACTTCTTCCGGGCCTCTCAATGTGCGCTCCACATATTTCTTCTTTAACGCTAATATTTCAAGCCACAAAGGAAATGAAATAAAGAGACCCAAGGACAAAAAAATATCAATACAGTGTGAAGAGAAAACCAGAAGAGAACATTCCAATTACAAAATTAAGAGTCAGGTTTATTGTAATTAACAATATAGGAGCCTAGACAAGGCAACACAGTAACATCACAGTTTTTAACTATCATGGCACATCATGTGTGCTCTTTCTTACATATTTTAAAGAATCCCTTTAAATTATATTGAAGTTGGACTAGGGAATCAAAGTACAAAAATCTGAAGTAGTGGCATTGTCAATAACAAGAGTCAAATTGCTGCGGAAAAGGCATGAATTTTTAATAATATCAGAGCTTCTTATCAGCATACACCCACTACAATGAGAATGATACAGAAATATCAATGCATGCTACAGTCAAAATGCTCAGGCAATTGGCTCAAATATATCTCAATAGTACATTGAGGACTTCATCCCCCAACTTTCATCATGAATAACCCAGCACCTAACAGCAAGCTATACCACAAAAAAGTTGAGTATGCACCTGTGAGGTCTTCCATATTTGCAGGCTTTACATCAACAATGTTGAAACTCTGGTTGCTTATTTCCAAATTCCATAAGTTTATTCGCAGATCATCAGCTGATATAAAAGTCTCACCATCACTGAAAAACATTGGAACTGTAAGTGGTTGAATTGACCAGCAAAACACAAGTAGTAATCAAAAGCCACACTAGTATATATGGAATGAAACTACACATTGCCATCATATTGTACTTTTTTAACTTCTGTCAGAAAAAGTCATTAGTTATTCTATGAAAGACCAACCGAAGGTGAATGGGAGTACAGAGAAATGGGAGATATAAAGTAATGAGTTTCTTCTTTCGGTAAAGAACCATCAGATTTGCATAATACCACATTTAGAGGTTTACTAAACAAATAGTTTAAAATGATTACACAAATTGCCTGAATAGATAGAAAACTATATGATGGTAATAATGGTGAAAAAGAGAAACGGAAAAAGTTGTCTTAAATTAGCAAAAATGAGAGAGAAAAAATGTAGGGATCTAGACCATATTAAGTGCATTACGAGTGAGGATCAAAGGGCCATGGCTAAGGATGAAGAAGTCAATATTTCCAAAACTTAATTAACTGACGAACACAATATGAACCAAAGTTTTAAAAAGCGGACCACTCAGCACCTAGGCGGTCCAGAAGGCCTGGGCGCATTGCCCAGGCGGCCAAACTAGGCAGATATCCCTGGGCGCCTGCCTAGGCACCTGGGAACCCGCCTAGGTGCCCGCCCAGAGCCTGCGCCTTGCCCAGGGGCGGAAATGCGGCTCCTTAAAGGTATTTTTGGGCCATTTTTTTTAAATTGTGGGTTTTAGGTTCATTTGAAACCTAAAACCCATTAGAGGTTATTTTAGAGCGAGAGAATCCCAAAAAAAAGAAAAAACTTCTACTAGGCCACCCAGGTTTAGGGCTCCTGTCTAAGCGCTAGGCGGCCTGGACCCCCCCGACTGCCTAAGTACCGCCTAACGCTTTTTGAAACACTGATATGAACATAGCAGTAGAAGGAACCGAGGGCGAAGGTCATCGATAGATTTGGAGGATTAGGATATTGGAAGTGAAAGGAGCTTTGAAGAGGAAATAAGAAAAGTCTTTAGGAGCAGAAGGTATTTTGATAGAGGTTTGGAAGTACATGGGAGAGATTGGCATTGACTGGCTGACAACGTTGTTCAACAAGGTGTTAAGAGCAAAGAAAATGCTGGACAAATAGAAGAAAAGTATTGTGGTACCTATTTTCAAGAACAAAGGAGATAGGATTGTGCAAACTATTGAGGGATTAAACTTTATCAAGCTGTAGGAGAGAGTGACTAAACAACGACTAAGGCATGAAATAAATGTATCACAAAACCAATTCGGTTTTAGGCCAGGGAGGTCAACAACCACGGCTATTTTCCTACTTAGCCAACTTATTGAGAAGTTTAGGGTGAAGGGCAAAAACCTCCACATGGTCTTTATTGATCTAGAGAAAGCTTATGATAGAGTACCTCGAGATTTGATTTGGTGGGTGTTGAAAAAGAAAAGAATCTTCAAACACTACATCGACTTAGTGAGAGACATATAAGAGGGAGCGCTAACTAGTGTACGAACAATTAGTGTAGAGACGAGTGAGTTTTCAATGACAATAGGTCTACATTAGGGGTCAACATTGAGCCCATACCTCTTTGTCTTAGTTATGAACGACCTAACCAGGCGCATATAAGATGAAGCACCGTGGTGCACGTTGTTCACATATGATTATAGTTTTGATTGATGAGACCTAAAATTGCGTCAACACAAAGTTAGAACTTTGGAGGGATGCTTTAGAATAGGTTTTAAAATTAGCCAAACTAAGATATAGTATATGGAATGCAAGTTTAGTAATAATAGGAGTAGAGACGAGAAAGTGGCTAAGATTGACAACCAAGAAATACAAAAAATAATGCACTTTCGATATCTTGGGTCGATAATTCAAGAAAATGGAGAAATTGAAGAAGATGTTGCACATAGAATTAGAGCTGGGCACGCAAAGTAGAGATGCAACCGGTGTGATAGCCGCATACCAATGAAGCTGAAGGGCAAGTTCTATAGGACAGCTGTGAGATTAGCTTTGCCTTATAGAGTGGAATGTTGGGTAGTCAAGAAACAAAATTACCCATAAAAATTCAAAATGATTACATTCGATAGAATTTAGGTGTGGCACCAATAGGCGATAAGAAGAGAGAAAGTAGAATTAGGTGGGCTGCCATATGTGGCATAAATCCAGTACAACACCTGTTAGGAGGTGCGACTTAGTTCAAGTGAAAGGCTCAAAAAAGGTAAAGAGTAGGCCCAAAAGGACATGGTTGGAAGCAATGAGAAAATATATGAGGACTTATAGCTTCACTAAAGGTATAGCCCTTAATAGCAGACCATGATTCATATAGCCGACCCCAATTAGTTGGGAAAAAGCTTTGACAATGATGATGGTAATAAAGGGAGGACATGACATGCACCAGAAAAATGAAGTATTAAACCCTATAAATATAATAAATGAGCTCATAGGGAGAGGTGAGAGAAAAAGAACATATAACATCCCACATAGATGTTCAATGAACTTTGAGAAATCTTGAACACCAACCCATTTTTTAAATGAGGAACATGTGCCAAGTTCACTCAAAGTTGCAAAGGAACAAAGAATCTTGAGAAAAAAATATAGTGATCCTGATAAGGATACTCAAAATCCTCACCAAGAATCTATGACTTTTAGGCCCACATGTCATCAAATCTCTAACAGCCACTAAGTAGTCTAGAAACTGCTTTGTCGTATGGCTTCCAAGAACAGTGATTGGTACTTAACAGTGGTAAACTACCCCCACATACTAACGACAAAATAAATTCTCTGGCTTTTCAATAGATTCAAAGAAAAAATATGGGAAAATATTTTTTCATAGCAGGAAACGGGCTTGGGTCAAGACGGTAGAGGCTAGGTTTTCATAGCCCAACATCTCAAGTTTCATTCCTATGTAACCTGGTCAAAAAAAAAAAAAAAATATATATATATATATATATATATATATATGTGTGTGTGTGTGTGTGTGTGTGTCATAGTAAACAGTTATTGCAGAATCATGACGCTTTTAAAGGATCTACACTGAATGGGACAAGCCGTATGACAATCATTGTGAAAGCACTAAATCTTGGCAAACAAGTGACACTATTCCCAGTCAAACCATCACCCATTTCAATTACTTCTCGATTTACATACTCAAAGAGATATTAGCACTGGGCCCCTTACCAGGTGGCAGCCGACAAAACGACGTTAAGAAAATCCCTCTCAAAATAGGGGGTTGGCGAAGGACAATACAACCATAAGAGACGAGAAAATCTTGGCCTCCGTGAAGGCTGTTGTGCCAATAAAGGTGTTCACTTTCAAAGCTCATCCCTAAGTAACCATGCCAGCAGAGCCGGCTTTGAAAAAAATATGCAATGAAAGGAAGCTTAAGAACCCGATCTGGAGGACATGCTCGCGACTCTACATTAGGAGCTTCAAAACCAATAATCTTCCCCTTCAAAAAGCCATCAGCCCTAGACCCTCAGAACTATGCCATCTACCCATCAATTATCAAGTGTCTCAAGTAGCACCCAATTTTCCAAGAGGCCATGGAAGTTCTGCTAAACTCTTTGACTGCAAGTACCAAACAAGGCCTACAAGCATCCCTCCTTTGCACCCTTGCCCTCATACATCCACATAATCCAAAAAAGTAGTAAATCTAATCCGGAAAATGACTGCCCACAAGGATTTAGTTGCCAAATAGCCAAACAAAAGCTACCATCCTCAGTGAACTTCGAACCAATGTTTCCGGGAGCTAAAAACCCCACAGCCATCCAAAAGATCTGCAATATGTTATGCAGGAAAAATGTTGTATGACCAAAAAATGTTAATATGAGAAGCAAACCCTTACAAAGTAGCTACAGTATTCAAAGGGAATGACCTAAACGAAGAAAAATGCAGTCAAATGTCATTTTAAGTAAGATAGTGAATTAAGTACCCCCAAAGTGGCAATTTCTCCATTCTAAGGAGGAGGAGATCACAAAACGATCATCCCCTATATGTCGCAAATTCGATATAGAAGGCCAATCAAATTCAATGAACTGTTGATTATCAAAAACAAAAATTGACCAATAATATTATAGATACATCTTGACTGATAAAATAGAACAGACTCACACGCAAACACCCAACGACACCCATGACAGGAACACAACCCACAAAGTCGAAAAAAATTCGAATCCATAGTTTTACTTAATTGTTTCTATTTACAATAAATATTTCATTTGTTGTTGCCCATTTATAAATTTCAACTATTGTTGCCAACCCTCTCAGATTTATCGTGGATGGCAGATAGTTAGTTGTGTGCCTACAGATCTAACCACATATATCAACAGATGAAGTCTTAAAAAGAGAACCCGTATATTTTGTCCCTGCACAGTAGCCTTACTAGAGCCAACTCACATAAAACTTGAATAGCAACAGTAAGAGAAAAATATTTCAATAGAGGTCTTATAGCAAAACATAAGAATAGGAGAACAGTTTTCGTCAAAGCTGACAATAATATGTGGACAGTTTGCAAGCTGATATCAGACTAAAATAAATTAATATGATACCTAATAAAGTTATCATGCACCAAATATTTTGAGGTTCATGAAGCACAAAAAAATCTGAAATACATCTGGTTCATGAAGCGAATGTCATAATGATATTGTAGGTGTTCCAATTTCTTTAATCATCACAGTTATAAATCTTACAAGCATTGTTTATGGTGCCATTCGACAAAATGGGTGGCCAAAGAAATGAAGACAGTTAATACAAAACACAGTTCCACATTCAAACACTCAACATTTAATTAGTACAACAGCAAACATGGGATTTCGCTTCACATAATACAACGGTCAAACAAAAAGAAAGTATAGTCATCAACCTGTTGTTTGAAATTGAATTGATATGATAATCGTGTGCATGAGCATATATTCTTCTGCATCTGGCAACCAGGCTGGTCTCATGGCTGGCAACCTGGTCAAACAACCATATTCATCAAATTAAAAAACCTAGAATGGCAGGCCAAATTTTGAGATGAGAGTTGCAGGAATATGTATTAATGAATGTTAACCACCCCTATGTTACAATTAAACAGTGGATATTTATTTGGCAATGACCAGGAGAGGAATATAAGCTTGGACAATGCATTCATGTAGAAATCGACACAAAAATAGGAGAAAAAATAGTCAGCATACAAACATGTTCCACAGACACATTCAATAAACCAAATAAAAAAGCAGATTACACATAAACCCATCTTAACTGCCAAGCTTTTCTCTCTCTACCTACCAGCAGTCAACCTTGGACATGATGATGACTACAAGAATAGCCACCACAATATCACAAAAAGAGTTGACAATATGTTTTTTCCAAATTAATATCACTGTAGAGATGAACTCAGAAGCTTAGAGTGAGTACAACTACCACGGGTAGGTGCAAGGACGGAATCCCTCCTAAGGGGAACACAAAGTCATTGCTTGAATAATTAAACAACTTCTCTGGACATCCACCATTTGCCAGATGCATTTTGGAGCTTGTTGCTGCACTTGTTCCAGCAACACCACCATTTGATATTGAATGGGCTATATTCATGTCACAAATTTTTTTGACCTTCTTTTCTTGAACCTACGCAAAGACCAAGTGATGAAAAGACAAATTAAAACAGATCTCAAAGATAATAAATCACAAAATTCACAGGCCACAATTTGATACAATTATGTAAGCAAAAAAACATATATACCCAGATTGCATACCTGCACCTTACCACAGTAGAAAGGTAATAGTTTACTCAACCATTAACATTTTAAGCCACATTGTAACATTAAAATTTCTGTGGACACTAATTCTCAGTTTTAAAAAGAATGGAACTAAATATCTCTAAGTCCTTAACTATGGTGTTAATGTAATCCTTTTGGGTAACAATTATTAATAAAGGTGTTTGAATTTTCGCCGGATAGGCACCAAAATATAGGAAAGAGAAGCAGTCTATTTTATCAGAAACTTTTAAAAGAAAGAACTTCTTTTCATGATAAAAAAAGGAAGATTGAAAAGACATAAGAGACACCACTTTGGATATGAACAATCAAAAGTGATCTTTGTTCTAGTTCTTTCATAGGCCAAATTATGCAGCAACTTGCACCACAGAGACAATCTTTTTTCTCTGCATCGTTCCAATTTTATCAGATGTCTCCGAAGAGGCCACAATCTTTTTTCTTTTTGCTTTACAATAATGATATACGTCATAAAATTGGGAAAAAATCTAACAGATATTAGAAGCATAAGCAAGTCAAATCAAAAGCCCTTGCAAAACCAACCATGCATATGTGGTATGATATATTCCAAACTCTGTCCAAAAAGACAAGAACATCATGTACAGGGAACCATTATATTCAATGTCGATACCAACTTTTTTTGCCTATTTTTATTCAAGCTAATAATTGCTGAATTGTACGGAAAGTACATAAATAACTTTAATGTATTGTTAAAATATGGTACACACCGAAAGAACTAGTAGCAAACAAACAGAAAAGATATCAGCAAAAAGGTAATTAGTATGAGAAAAGGTGCGCTCTTCAGAGACAAAGACAGAATGTGCAACAAATATATATGTTTTAAACAAAAAGAAATCATCTAGAGCCCACTCAATTGATCTACTCCACTAGTGACGAAATAAAGACTCAAATTTTTGTTAGTAATTCAAGTTCTTAATGATTTGAACCCTAATATGAATACTTCAAGAATTGTTCGCCTATTCAAGGTGCTTCTTAGATTTTACTGCAGATCATAGCATAATCAGTGGAACATAGAAGTCCAATCCATTTAAGCAGTACAAGTTCATAAAAGCACCAGTAATGCCCCTTCTCAATTAGAAAATCCAATTATGATATAGAATCAATTTGTGGTGATTGATTCCAACTTTGCTCAAGGAAGTAGGACCATATTCATCTGAAAGGTAGCAGATAGGATTGATAGGTTGGTAAGAGAAACCGAAAGTAAGGAGTTATCCTCAACAGCTGACAGGCTTTTACGGACCCTCGCAGTAAGGTCAGCAAGGCACCACAACAGTCTTCCTTGATACGTGATTTACAGGTTTACAGCAGGTGTCACTGGGCAGGCCGCTAGAGGCACAAGTGTGACAGCTTTTCAGTAGGGAAGTGAGGATAGCATGCAGAGCCTAACTCTCTACAAAATGCTATTAAATCAATCAGCAAACAACTTTGATAGACTGTATGAGCTATAGTACATGTCCAGCAATCCAGTGGGCATGGCAAATCAGTACAAGTGTGACATTTTGGAAATGTTCTCAATAAAATCTCCTCTGAGGCCCTGATATACATTGTGGGTAAGCATTTTCCAAGATACAGCATCTGGAGGGGTTCAATGACTGTCAGAACAGGAAGAGGTGAATACAGGAACAAGATTGAAATCAATCATCCAAGGATATCTTAGGAAGAATATGGGATCTCACAAGGTAGAATGATGTTATGAACATATGCCTATGACTACCAGAATTACAAGCAATCCTTTGGGTTTCAAAGAACCCTGAGATTCCTAGATATGTTTTTTTTTTTTTTAACGTTAACTGTTAGTAGTGGGCTAGCAATTTCTGAAACAGTTAGTAGCTTTCGAAAGCGGTTAGCATTGGTAGGAATAGAAACCGAGACCGGTAGCTGAGTCACAGGTGGTGCTACCACCTTGACCTCAACCGCATTCCTGAGATTCCTAAATATGTTATACCACAGTGTTCATAACTCACAACAGAATGACAGTATTATTTGTATTTCCATTTTCCAATTGGATTTCATAGTTCTTACTGCTTCTCACAGATGCCATAGGGAAGGTGATTCCAATCTAACATTTAGTATAGGTGCCTTCTTTTATAAAGACCCTATTAAAAAGTACAATGCAAAATTGTCCCCAGTAAGATTTTAGAGGAACAATGTGGTTCCAGATAAATTCTTTTAAGTCACTAACCAATTGAGAAATCACAAAACTCAAGGGAATTCCAGTATAGTTGTTCTTTCAGAACAGGCAAAACAACAGAGAAAATTGAGAAGTTCTTTAAGTGACTTAACCAATAGAGAAGTTATAAAACTCAAGGGAGTTGTAGTATAGTTGTTCTTTCAATAATGGCAAAACAACAGGAATGCAACAAAATTTCAAAAGTTCTCCAAACTCAAACAAAACAACAATCAACCTCGGCATTTGGGGTTAGCAAGATTCACAAGAACGATTTTGATGTAATGGGGTTTTATTTTTTTTTGTTCATTTTACTATTTTATGGATTTTAGGTTTGGATTATTTTGGGTTTCTAATTATTTTTAGGGGTATTGGAGTATTTTTTTAGTGGTAGAGAATTGATAGGTAAAATTGAAAATTTATTTTTTATTTTTAAAAATGAAGGACTGAGATCTAGTTAGGGTTTCTTAGGGAACAATTAAGGTTTTGGGATTGTTTTCTTTTACAAATATGTAACTCTTGGATTGAAGAAAGAGAGAGCGAAGAGAGTAAGAGTTTATTTTGGATTTTGTGAATAGATCTTCTTTGCGTTGGACTCCCTTACAGACCCTAAAAGAGGGTATATTTCTCTCAACTATTATTTTTATTCTAATTTTCTACTTTGCTTATTTTTCTTTCTCCCTTTTCTCTATGCATCAATTCCCTTTTCCCTACATCAATTGGCACTAGAACATTCCTAAATCAATAGCTATCAGAGCTTTACAAGATCCATCCGTCACAATGCCATTAAAACTTACTCTTGTGATCAGTGACCTGTTGCCACAAATAATAGAAACAGTGAAACAGCATTTTAACGAGAGCATAAATCAATCGATGGAAGGTATTGACGAGAGATCCATGGAATTCTAGGAGAGATCGTTGTAATTTCAATGCTTGCAACGGTTACAAATATCGTTCAACGAGAAGAGGGCGCGGCTCGAAACCAAATAGATCCGGCGTCAAATCTCCCCCCAAGGATTAATCAAGCTCCACTACCAACTCCAGTAGTCGGTCGTATATGTAATGAGAAAATTTTGTGGCAAGAACCACGAGCTGAGGCACTTCCACGTGATCTTGGTATTAAGGTCGGTCTTCTAGAGGTTCATCAGAAAGTCGAAAGAGAAATTAAAAATATGTTCGACATCCCGAAGTTCTAGTACAAGTTGCCCATAAACGGTTAGATTAATTGGTTTATTGAAGAAAACAAACTACCTCAGCGAATGGCGGACTACATCACCAGTTATTCAATTGGCCTTTGAAGGATGTGATGAGCACAATAAGCTTGAGGTCGAGGTTTTTTTAGTTGTAGGGAATTGAGGGGTAAATTTGAAACTTTATTTTTTTAAAAATAGATGAAGGGTTGGCATCTTGTAAGGGTTTCTTAAGGAACAAGTTAGGTTTTAGGGATGTTTTCTTCTATAAATATGTACCTTGTGGATTAGAAAAAGAGAGACTGAAGAGAATAAAAGTTTATTTTGGATTTTGTGAAGAGATCTTTTTGGGGGTGGACTCCCTTATGGACCCTAAGAGAGGGTATATTCTCATCTTTTTTTTTTTTGTATTTTCTGCTTTGCTTATTTTTCTTCCTCCCTATTCTCTCTGCATCAATTCCCTTTCCCTACACGAGATTTTCAGGATAGATCAGAAGCAATTAGAGGCTATTCAGCTTGAGAGAGAGAGAGAGAGAGAGAGAGAGAGAGAAATGCCTACATCACAAATCAAATTGTCAGAAAAACACAAAAGTTTAGATTTTAGACATGATTTGTACAACTTCGTAAATTTGTGACTCATTACCAGTCATGAATGAACATGTGTAAAGGCTTTCAAAAACAGTAATTCGAGTTTTATACTCAGTGACACACCAGCCAATTGAAACATGCAACCCTACCAGAGATTGGACTCTCCTGTCTCCACACTAACCTCCTTGGGAAGTAGCAAGACCCAGCCAATTGAAACATGCAACCCTGCCAGAGATTGGACTCTCCTGACTCCACACTAACCTCCTTGGGAAGTAGCAAGACCCAAAACCACACGGCAGCCGGTAGATTGGACAAACAAAACAATGATGAAGGTCCCAATAACCAACCTTTATATACACTCTCTGACTAAAAACTCAAGGGACCAGACCGTTATATATACCCTCTCCAACTAAAAACTCAAGGGACCAGACCGTTAAATATACCCTCTCCTACTAAAAACTCAAGGGACCAGACCTTTATATACCTTCTCCAACTAAAATCTCAAGGGACCAGACCGTTAATTAATCTCCCCATCCCTCTAATGTTACAAGTCAGTACCGGGACAGAATAAAATTTTGGCAAGATTTTGGGGATGGTTGTGGGCCTGAATATGGCAGTACTTGCAGAATTTGCTAGGTAATACCATGAAGTTGGAGAGAATACCAAACACTTTTAAGTCCGCCTCTATGTAGTAAGCAAAGCCCTAGAAATCGCCTGATTATTGATCAATCTAAGTGGAAATTCGCCCCACAGAAGGGTTCATATCTCTCCCTTGAAGGTTGCATAACTCTCATTAAGGCAATTTTATCCTGTATCTTGGGTGCTTCCTGTATGTATTTCAAATGACAAGGTGGCAGTCAAAAGGCTAAGAAACTTCTGAGTTAATTGCTTCAGAGTGGTGGAGAGGAGAAAGCTCAATTCCATTTAATTAGTTGGGAGGGGTGCAATGTCACGATAGAGGGCAGATAGGGCATAAGGATGTTTAAAGAACTACCAAGATTCTACGAAGCAGGCAGAATTTGAGGTTTGGCAGACAGCAGGAACTTCATGATGCCAGATCATAAGGGTGAGTATCGATTAAACAAAACAGGCTACTAGGAAGGATAGTAGGTTAAGCAGGTTTCGAAAGGCTGAGTAGTACGAATCATGCAAGGATAGCCTATCACAGGGGCATACATCTATAGTTGAGCAGGTAGATCAATTTCCCAGGATACGTACTGCATTGGGATGGCCTTAAGAAGTTTCACATTTTCAAGTATCATAGTAGATAATGAAGCTCATGACATTTGAGGAGGGAACAGTGGCTTGGTGTCCGATGTTTAGGTGTGTTTTTAGGAGGGGAGATTTGACAGATGTCTGTTCATTAGGGCCGCTTTTTAATCCCCAAATTCACGGACGGGTGAGGATTATGAGGACTTGGCATTGGAATCAATTTGGTCATTCTATAGGATGCAGTGAGGTTCCTAATATTTTAACTCCCCAATGGAGTTGGTATGGAGAGTACTTATCCCCCTTGGAATCTTACAGTTGGTCAGCAATCCAAGACAAGATTCTTATGGATGGCCGTCTTGGCATAGGAATTTGCAGTTCACATATGCCTCTGCAGGTTAAATGAGCACCTTAAAAAACAGGTTTTAGCCTTCTTTTTCAAGAACAGTATGCATGCACTAGAAGGCAAGCATATCAAGACATGATACGTACTCACCCAAATAGGCAAATATTATTAATCCAACTGCTTACATGCACTCCATCTTTTATTTCCCGTTCAGGCATGTTTCTTATAAACTGAAGTTAAGATCTTTATAGTTCAACTTATGTTACATTTTTGTACCTAGCTCACTACGCTCAGATGCCTTTTACCCATGTTTATTATTCGCAGGCAGTCACATTGATAAACTCCCAAACTCTTTTATTGTAAATGTCATAAAGTTAGCCCCAGAAAGTCCACGGATTCTCTCTCTAAACAGCAGGTATTGACTTTTGCACGAGTACTGACACATAATAGAGCACATAACTGAAATAAGAAAAATTTGATTTCATCCGGCTTTCACAGATTTTGTGCACACCTTAATTCAAACCATGTGCCCTAGACAAGTACAGCATCCACTAAACAGGTTGGAATAGCTATGCATTCACATAGAATAGTGCCACATGATTGTAAACTAAAGAACTCATGAACCATAAAATTAGGCCAATCCTTTAATAGACAAGTAATACTACAAAACATTATCACATGGGGGGTTTGATTGCCAGAAATTGTCGAATAGTGAATTATTTCTCTTTAAAAATTGATTCCCAAAATAGGAACTAATTAAGCACCAAAGCAGCCCATGAGATTCTTGAAAGTCAATCCAAGGCCTGTATAAATAACATGAGTGCCTAGCCCAACTGTCAACATCAATGAGTTTCAGATTGCACAAGAAGAAATCACAGCATAGATAACTGTAAATTCAAGAGAACTATTTTCCCAATTAGTTGGGAGAAGGATTGAAATGATGATGATGATGAAATTTCAGATAACTATTTTACATAAAAAGTTGAGCCAACCAGAAAGAGAAATCCTGTTGGCTTGTTAATATCGATTTCACCAAAGACAATCATAAAACAACCAGGTCAAAAAATGAAGAAAATCATCCACATCACCTTCCAAAACTTTATTGTTTTGTCATTTGTTGAGAGAAGAAACAGGGCACCATTGGCTGTCTGGCACCATCTGATTTTATTGATCTTCTCCTCAATTTCCAAACTTTTAAGATAATCAAACTGAACGGGCAGAGATTAAATCAGTTCATCTTATAGAATAGCAGAAGCCCACAATAAACAGCTGAGAAAATATAAAATCCAAGCAGCACCACTTTGTGAGGTATACCTCAGGTTCATGGCTTTGAAACTCCGTCTTGTATCGGAACTCAGGGTGCCTACTGATTGAATAATCTAACCTCTCTAGTTCTCTCCGAGAAGTATGCTACAACAAATTAATTTAATGAAAAAAACATGAGATGAACACCACAAACCATAAAAATAAGGCAAAACTGCATATTATACTGCAATAAAGGAAACAAGAACACAATAGACAAACCAAATTAGCATCCTTCACATCTGTCCTTTCAAATAAAACTACACGGCCCCCACGATCTCCAGTAGCAAGGTGATCACCAGTTTTATCAAATTCAATTGCTGAGATTATATCAACTGCAAAATAGAACAGCTCCATTAATTTATGAAATGAACCAGATGATAACACACAACCAACTGTAACTCATACAATAACTTACACAAATCTATTGTTACCGACATAGTGACATGTGTGCACCACTAATATGCAAGTGACATATGGATGTGCCCTGATTAGTATATCAATTTACAATACTTTTCTATTCATGAATGTTGGCATATTATAAAGGCCAGCCCCATGTTGTCATTTATACATCATTACCTATATATGTTAAGTCAGGGCAGTATGGTACTTTGTACAAGCACCACAAAAGTAATTTCGCAAAGTTATCTGGCATAATTTTGTGCAATTAATCTCCAATCACAATGAATGAGATTCACTGAATAACTCCTCTTTTATGCATCGAGTTTTCCAACACATTAGAAACTTGTGATGACTGCAGTTTCAATATTGTTGCACGAATAGTGCTGGTTGACTCATGTCTCCCACATAAGAGTCGAGTACATTTACAATACATGTGGCTGCAATCTGTTAACACCTAAATAAAATCATATTTGATCTTACCCAACTTCATGGATCATAGCAAGCCAACATGGCAAACCATGACAGTTGTACATCGAGAATAGAAGGCCCTATGAAGTAAGTCCTAAAAGATCTATCATCTACCCAAGCATATGTAACAAGAGCTCCCCTTGACATAAAATATTATATTTGATACAATCAATCACTTGTCATCATTCTTGATTTGTATAGATTTCTATTTAATACATACCCTATACGAGCTCTGAATTGTTAGAAACCTCCGGTATGGCACCTTCACTTTCGTGTCTAAGCTCTAAAAAGATAAATCAATCCTTGCATTAGAGCAACACCAATTCTGGAATAGCATGCTTGTTGGGTACACTCATCCCATCAGTATGGTCAGTTGTAAAAAGAGTGACCAGAATCAACTAGGCCAACACAAATAGAAGAGCATAATTTGTTTGACTTAAAGGCATGGTCATTACATACGTGTACAATGGTGATCAAAATCCAGGAACTCTTAGCACCTCAAGTTCAATGTTGTGTTTCTTTGTGCGGTGGTGATAAATTACAGGAAATCTTAGCAACTCAAGTTCAATGCACTGTTTTCATTTTTCACTTTTTCTTTCTGTAGTTTCGTCATACTCTTCCAAAAAAAGTATAACTTTCAAGAACGAACTAAAAGATACAGCCCCCACATCAGTGGAATGCCTCTTAAGCTAGATGATGGGACCATAACCCAAGGCTGAAACCTTGAAATTTTGGAGCCATTTTTTAAACAATTTTAAATACTAAGCTAGAGGTGTACAACTACTTTTGGTTCTCTGTTTCTAGTAAGTAAATCAAAAGCAAAATGGAAAAGTAGCATTAAGCAAATAAGGCCAATTAAAATTTCAGTAACTTCTAAACCTAAGAGTTAATATCTAAGTTTTCCTCATAAATCTCGATCACACCAAGTCCCAAGTACACAGGAGAGAGAGAGAGAGAGAGAGAGAGACTTTTCACTTCCATGAAGATAGTTGTGTTTAAAGGATCTCCTCAACCTCCTATTCAAGCTCCTCTTTCTCATTATCATTCACATTCCTCTTTCCCTTCTCCATCTTCTTTTCGACACTTTTCCTAGTTAGATTTGCATTTTTCATGGTCATCAGCTTTTACTACCAGTGCTAGTCACTTTTAATTGAGACAGCCACATCAAATGACCAACTCCCAATTCTAGGCCCTCTCCACCTCTACCAATATGGTCACTCAGTGCTCAAACATAGTAAAATGTAGTAATGGGTTCTGCTATAAATCGAACAGTTAAAAGCTCATCCAATCAGAGTTTAAAACCAGAGACTCAGGCTCAGACTCGTGGGGGTGCCTGAATCACCCAATCCGAATTGGACGAGTCTCAAGTCAGACCTGTAATAACATTAGGGTTGATGGGGAGACTCCAATGCAGCTGCTAGGTTTTTCTCCGGAATTGACAGGGTCCCAACCCAAGCTGAGTAGGGAGCATGGAGATTTTTTGAACACCACATTAAATAGTCTGATAAAATGCTAAAGTCCTCCACAGCAGACAAATAGCGCACATGGGCCATACTATTCATAAATGGATTTGCAAATTAACCATAGTGTGCAATGTCATCTGTGCCCCATATGATGAAATATGTCATTAAAGGTCCAAACTACAAACACGAGAAAATCAATCATCAACATTCAAAGTGGCAGTTTTGATGAGATTATAGTAATGGCTACCAATCAATGTGCAGCTTAATGACAACCCTAGCTTTTATTCACATTCTATCACACAAAATCAACAATTGGAAGAAAAACACTGAGGAAACTTCCCGAAAATTGGCCATCAATGATGAAGATCCATAATCGACTCAAGTTTCCATAAATTGGGCCCTAATAAAGATGTATTTGACAAAAGCAATTTAGCAATGCAACAAAGGAATAAGTATCACGGACCTCCGTAAAAAGTAAATCTTGCAATAGTGAGTCAAACTAAATTCATCAGAGAAATCTAAACGAGAAAACATGCAAATGATTTAGTAACAATACCATAGTACTCAAATGTTCTAACTAGGAACACATAATGTTTAATGAATCTAAATCAGTCAAGGAGATCCACAAAAGAAAACCCATATCACCAAGATCAATAAATTGAATCAATACAGTAAAAACCCAAACCAAATCATCAAAAAAACGAAGAAACTAAGGACAAAAATCTAGATCAAGGACAATTGAGCAGCTGAAACCCATCAAACAAATAGTAAGAACCCAATTCAAAATGCCACGAAACAAACCCAATCACAAAATCATTTGGGGCTCTCAAGATCAAGGACCCATACCTTCCTGGACTTCTTCACCTGCCGCTCTCTCTCCAAAAACCTGAGAGAACTTCCATTCAAGGGGGGGCAGAGGCTCGGAAGGGCCAGCCTCCACACCACTGGCGATCATTTCTCCACCAAAATCAATGGCGACTCAGAAGATCAGAGAGATTCAGGCCTTTTCAGAGATCATGGCGTCACATGTGAGAAAGGTAGGTATAGATCGTTCCTAGAGAGAGAAGGGTGGGTTACTGAGACATGGACTTTTGTAGTGGCGATAGCATGGCGAAGGGCAAATGGTAGAGAGAGAAAGAGAGAGGGAGAGAGAGAGGAGAGAGATAGGGATGAGAGAGAATCGTCTTGGCCAGGGCTTTTAGGACCAGCACTTGCACCCTAGCTGCTTTAGTTAAATTGGGATCAATGACCAAAAAACCCTCAATGATTTCATAATGTAATGATGATGTTATGAGTAAGTTTTGGGGAATAAGGAGTAAAAGTGAGGGGTTTTTTTTTATGTGAAAGGATTCAGTGACCCCTTGCTTAAAATGGAGACACGCCGATCAATATCAATTATCAAGTGTTAAGGAGAGATACTTGTAAATAAAAACTCTCTCTCTCTCTCTCTATCTCATTAGAGGAGAGAGAATTTATTTTTTTGTCCGAGTGAAAAAAATTATAATTTTTTTTAAAAAAGACTTATTTTCTCTAGCAGATAAAATTTTTTCTCTTCGAAAAAAAAAACTTACTCTCTTTATTTTCTCTCTCCTAGATAAAGAAAACGTACTCTCTATTGGTAAATGAGAGAAAAAACTTATAAATAACTCTCTCTTTTTAGAGGAGAGAGAACTTATAAATAACTCTCCCTCTCTATCTATTGCAAAAGAAATGTTAGAAATGTGATTGGCACTTAAAAATGACACTCCCGTTTGGACAAAGCAAATGTAGTTTTCGCTATGCCTAAACCACTCTCCTTAACTCTCTCTCTCTCTCTCTCGTCTAAATGCGTGAGTTTGCACCATGATGCTTAAACAACCTCGAATCTCTCTCTTTTTAATGTACTTTTCACTGCACGAAACGTACATAATGAGATCGTTTATTTTTAGCATAAGGAGCTCACTATGATTATTGTTTATTGATACTTTTGACTCGCATAAAACTATTTTTTCATGAAAAATTCTAAATGTAGGAATATTTTTATCCTAGTTAGTCTAAGTGCCAAACACGCCGGAAGTATGAAATCGGATGGTGTGATTGATTGGGTACAAACCTCAAAATAAACCTTCTCAAGACACATCCAAGCTGTCAAATTTCATATATAATGATTGTAACCCTCTTGTATTAAAAATACATTGTTAGAAAGTATACAATCTCTTTACTATATTCACTATGCAATGGGGGACATGGGAGCAAAAATAAGTGTTAAAATTTGGAAAGCAAATGTCGTCTTTTAGCTGCCCAAAAATTATGTGCTCCTACGGAACAAATTGTATACTTGATTATTGGGGCAAAAACTTGGCTTCCAGTATTATTTTGGACCTCAAAATTTTAGGGATGTAACCTGTTGAACCCATCAAACCAACCTACAAGAATGGTTGAATCAACTTCTTGAAACCGTTGGAAAATCATCCCCCATAATTAAAAATGACCTGCCATTAAGATGTTTAAAAACTTTATAGTGTTTCAGTCATAAGTCATAACCCATTAACATGTAAAATAGTATATACCTCTTGTCCTTTTGAAATTTGTGCATTTAGTGATTCTAAAGTGGATTCCCAAATTTTAAGATAAAAAAACTATGAAGTGGATGTTTTTGCCTAAAGGGCGCAAGTAGACAATTGGCTCACACCGAAGCATAGTATACATAATATGGAAACCACTCAAATCTATTGGGGCACACAAACTATACTCTTGTACAAGCAAAGTATACACTTGCTCTCTTGGATATATGACCCACTCCGAAGGATTTTTATTAATCTCAGGTTTTGATAACCCATCTACTATTGTTTGAAAAATGGCAAAAAAGATAAAGAAAAAAGTGGAAAATTATGAGTTCCTATACACCTAGATAGATGTGTTCAATCTTGGGATGAATTATTTCGAGCACTTTGAAAGTATATATTGAACTTTATATGTTTTCTAGGTTTGTCGCTACGTTGAACACGATACATATACAAAATATAGGGCCTAAAAGTACTCCCAGCTATGTTTTAGAGCAAATGTACCATTTCCTCATTCGGGAGCAGATGGTCCATTTGCTCGTTTGAGAGTATATAATCTTATACGACCCCAAATGCTAACATTCTATTAGCATAGAAAAAAATAAAATTTAGACTAATGTGGGGTTTTTCTTTTTTTCCAATTTGACAAGAGTAATATAATTCCATTGCATTTATAGAACCTCTCTTTCAGTGAGTCAGCATGCCATTCAAATATGAGACATAGCATTGTAACAATCAACACACTAACCATTCAAGTCAGGCCAACATGTGATTCGAATATGAGAGGGCATTGCCATAGTCAACACTAAATCAATCAAGTCGGTTCCCTCTCTCTCTCTC